GCAGCATTCCTGAAGCTACCTGTGAGCTGAAACTCATTTATATTTGCATTGTGAGCAGGTTGTCCATATGTAAAATACTGAAGTATTCATTAGGCAAACTAAAAGTTGATTAAATTAATATGTCTTGGTGATTTCTTAATTTGATTTTTGGCCAATAAGACAGTTGTGGAATGTGTTATGTATCTTCTCCCTCCAAAAATTATAGAAGTGATTCTGAGAACTAGAAAATTCAGAAACTGTAGATAGGAGTGGAAACAATAGGACATATATTCAAAAACAAGATTCATTGCAGGTAGTATGCTCTTTGTTGGCAATAAGGTGCCATTTAGTAGTATTCCAGGCCCTCATCTTCCATTTTTCTCCAAAAAGGTGAGTGACAGGTTTCCTGCAAAGAAAATTTTTTTCAATTTCATTTTAAATGACTCTAGTTTTTATAGTATATGTTTCTCTGTTGGAATAATACATATTTTGCAGAAATTTTGGGAAGTGCAGAAGAATATAAGAAATAAAAATTACCCATAATTCCATCATGTGTGTTATAACTACAGTACTTCTATATTAAAAATTGGGGTATTTCCTTCTAACTTTTAAAATTACATAGTCATGTTATCTCTCATGAAACTGAGGTCACAGTGTCATGTTCTGTTCACTTAAATGTGCACTATGGTCATTTTTCTGTCACAGGTATTTCTCAGTGACATTGTGTTTAGTGATTATATAAACCATTTCATGTTTATATAATTAATTTAATCATTCTGCTGCTTGACATTTGGGTTGCTTGCTTGCCAACTCTTGCTTTACTGACATATACATTTTTTAAATGAAAAGATGAATATTTGTGATATCCAGAAGAGAGTTCACATTTTGTACATGTAAATATGTCTGATTGATTTAGCCTTAAACCCACACTACTAAGCAACTTTGTAAACTGGGCTTTTTGGCATCATTCATCTATAAAATGGAGGGAATAGTGGTACCTACCCTGTATAGCTCTTATGTGATTAACTAAAATAATGTTTATAAAATCCTTAGCAAATTGCCTTTTACACAGTAAATGTTCAAGTGACAACTAGTAATATTGCTAATAACATTATTGTTTTGTGTGTGACCTCCTTTAAGAGTATATCCAGTGTTCACACAAAAACTTGTACACAAATGTTCATAACAGTATTATTCATAATAGCCCCAAAGTGGAAATATCCCAAATACCCATTAACTAATAAATGGGTAAACAATTATTGTATATCCATACAGCAGAATATTACTCAGCCCCAGAAAGGAGTGAACTACTGATAAATGCTACAACAGGGATGAACCTTGAGAACATATTAAGTGGAAGAAGCCAGACACAGAGGCCACATACTGTATGATTCCATTTATGTGAAATGTCCAGAACAGGCAAATTTAGAGATCTGGCTTAATTTTTTTCATAGTAATTACCATACTTGTATAAGTTTTTAAATGAGAATAGAAAACTCGTTATTTGTCTCTTCCCTGTTAAAAAGATTAACCTCTGTTCTTTGTGTCCCTAGCACCAGTTGTTGATTCCTTTTATTTAGACCTAGTAGTATTTACTTAAAGAGCCCTCTTCTGAAGAGAGAACTTTCTTTCTAGTCTCTCTTAATGATAGCCCTTGGAATGTCCCTGGTACCTTCTCAGTGTGTAATCCCCAGGAGCTTTGGGGCAACTTTTTAGAAATCTGCCTACTGTCATTGAAGGTTGTACAGTGAACAGTTTTCATGTTATATAATGACTAATATAAAAACTTCATTTATTGTGTATTTAAAGAATCCTCTATAAAGTACTTAGTATTAGTTTGAAAGACTTTTTCTTCGATTCTTAAATTTAAAATCTAATCAAATTCAAACCATAAATAATTAATTATATATTTGCCTTAAGCTATTTCAGTTTTCATTTTAACTAAAAGATTTATCACTGTGCTTTAATTTTCTTTTCCGATTTTTTGTGGACTAAATTTCATGCTAAAATAGTAAACAATTTAGATGATAGGGCATTTGAAGAAGGCCAGTCCAAATTACAGAAGTGGTTATCATGACTAGGCTTATGACATTTTTCTTACTCATTACTTTTTTTCCATATGTGTCTTTACCCATCTCAGTCAAAGTGCTGCATATTAGAAACAGTAGTTTGAAATTAATTTTTAATTTCTAGGAGTCTCCCAAACATTTTTAAACATCAGATATGCAGTAGGGAATTTTTAGGTTAAGAGGCTTAGACCTAGAGGACTGCTTTTTTTGTGAAATATTATAAGAACAAAAAAATACAGAGCAAACTAATGAGTTTCAGTGATTCCCTCACTCAGCTTTTTCAGATTGTAACATTTTGCTGTAGTGGTTACCCAAGGTTTTTTTTCTTTCAATTTTCATAATGAAATTTATAAACGCATAGAAAAGTTGAGAGAATATATAGAACACTATTCACCTATGTCTGACAACTAGACTTAACAATGAACATTTTGCCATGCTTGCTGTAATATGTGCTTTTTTGCTGAATTATTTCAAAGCTGAACATCATGTCAATTCCCTCAATAGCACATGTCCTACTATGTAAATATTCACATATGTAATTGCAATACCATTATCATACCTAAGAAAATTAAGGGTAATTCTTTTACATCATATAATTTTCTGGTTCCTCTGGTTGTCCTTGAAAGCATTCAATAGCTTTTTCAAAAAATTATTTAAATCAGAATCCAATCAAGGATCATGCATTGTGTTTGATTTTAGTGTTTCTTTTCTCTTTTTAATCTAGAACAGTCCCTCCCCACTACATGGAAATCTTCTCCCCATGCCTTTAATTTATTTGGAAGAGTAAAGTCATTGTGTAGAATTATTAGACAAATTTACATTTTGTGTTTGTCTATTTCCTTTTGGTAGTATTTAACTTTTCCTTTACCCTCTGTATTTCTTACAAATTGAAAGAGATAAACCTGGATTCGAGTTTGGATTAACATTTTCTGGTAAGAAAACTTCATAGGTGATGCTGTATATGTTAAATTGTATTAAAACTGGAGGCATATAATGATGGTCTATCCCAACAATGAGTGATGCTAAGTTGATCACTTGGAAAGGTGGTGACTGCCAGATCTTTGCAGTAAAATTATGTCTTTCCTTCTGTAAATCAGTAATCTGCTAGATGATACTTTGGCACCTCGTGAATGATCTGCTCTGTGAGGAGAGTATTAGAAATTTTTCATCTACATGTTATCTTTTCATTCTTTAGTTATATAATATGAGCTATAAGAAATACATATTTGGTCATTTATATGACCAAATACGTATTTCCCAAGTATATTGGTCTTCATCCACAGTTCCTGAAAACAATGCAGAGCCTTAAAGGTGAAACAGGTGTTTTGTCGTTGTTGATAAGGGACTTTTGGACCCCCCAACCCAAGGTGGGGGTGCTGGAGGTTGAGTCAGCCAGTGGCCAATAATTTAGTCAATCATGACTATGCAGTGAAGTCCTCAGAAAAACCCTGGAGAAGAGCTTCTGCTCCCTCCCTCTCTCTCTCTGCTCTATTCTGCCTGCTCTGCTCGGCTGGATCCTGCTTCTTGGTCAGAGAGAGCTTCTGTCCTTGGGGAACCAGAACGCCTCCATGCGCCACCAAGCCAGGCCCCTAGCTCCATGAGGATAGAAGCTACTTTATTTGGGACCTTGCCCTGTGTCTCTTTTCTTCTGGCTGTTGTATCCTTTTAAACTAGTAAATGTAAGTGTTTTCCTGCATTCTGTGAGCAGCTCTAGCAAATTAATCAAACCTAAGGGGCAAGTCATTGGAACCTCCAGTTTGTAGCCTGTAGGTCAAAAGCACAAATAACTGCCTGGGGCTTGTGACCGGCATCTGGAGTGGCAGGTGGAGGGCAGTCTTGAAGGACAGAGCTCCCAACCGGAGAAGTCTCATGCTGTCTCTTGGGCAGATAGCATCGGAATTGAGTTGAGTTCTCAAGACACCCTGCTAGTGTTTGAGAACTACTTGGTGGTGTATGTGGGGGGGGAATACCCCCTCCCACATAGTCACAAACACATTGGAATCATGTCCGGGAACTCAAATGGAGTTATACTATTACTGCTGTGTATAATATTGTTATTGTTATACATATATGTGAGTAAAAAAGATACCATTGTGTTTGGTGTTGGAAGAGTGGGAATCACAAGTTGCTTAAGGGTTTCTTTCTTGGGTTAAGTTTTTCTACATAAGGAAAATTGTATTGGGAAAATGTCCAGTAATATCATGCCTCAAAATAAATACAAGTAAAAATAACTACAGGGTACCATTTCCATCTTAGATTGGTAGAAATACAGAGTATTCACAAAGGAGTCTAAGAAGATGCTGGTGGGTGTGTAAACTGTTAACAATACTTCTAGAGAGAACTTAAGCAGCATTTTAAAAAATATTTTTACTCAGGAATACTTTTACTACAAGGAATTTATCCTCTATATACTTGTAAATATACAGCAAGGTGTATATATAGGAGTCATTGCAGCCTAACTTTTAATAGCATTAAAAAAACATAGAAATAATATAAATATAATCTTTCAGTCATAAAGAGTGATGTGATGATATGGACGTCATCAAACTCAGATTATTCTTGTCAGAATGTTTCCTACAGCATTCCATTTTTATTTCCTTGATGCTGTAGCTTTTCTTACCTCAAAAGTGTCTTTTGGTTTTGTTTTCTTTTACTCATCATTGTGTATAAACATACAGAAAATGAAAACTAAATTGGATGCCTGTTTTCTAATTCTTAGAGTCAGTAGGGATTTGATGCCGAAGCACTCAAAATGATACTCTAATTTTCATTGTTTATATGTCTCATGAGCATCTTGTGTAAATCATATAATGGAAAAATGACATTTTAAGTAAGAAAAATGTTGGCTGTATCCTAGTTGTAGTGAAATTCTTGAAATGGAAATACCTGTCACCTTTAATATCTTCAATTTAATGTATTTAGTATCTCTCTATATTTTTTTCTTTTAAACAGTTCGTTTTCCTGAAGATCTTGAGAATGACATTAGAACTTTCTTTCCTGAATATACCCATCAACTCTTTGGGGATGAGTAAGTAACTTAGTAAGGTATTTGCCAAATAAGAATGGCAAAAAAAATCTATTCCTTTTTTTTTAAGATTTAAAAGTCAGACTTTATTTTCTTTACTGTTATTTTTCATGCAATTTATTTTAAGATATTTATTAGAATGGCATTTTTGACATTGAGACACCAATTTACAATATAATGCCTATCATTTAATTTTATAGATGCATTATCTCATTTAATTCTCACAACATTTGTAGTGATGGTAATTACCATGTGTTATGTTGTGCATACATTGGTGGAATTGGATAGTTGCCTAAGGACATATGAAGAGCCAGATTTCAAATTCAGTGTTTGACTGCATAGCTCAGTTTCATAACTACTACTTTTTTTTCCTATTTCTTTGCTATGCTGCTTCTAGTACAGGATATACTCCCCTAAAGCTAGAAAGCTCAAGTTGTTATTCTGTGACAAGTAAGGCAGTTAAGAGAATTTTATTTTTTAAATCAGCTTTCAGTATATGCCGTGAAATTGTCAGTGCAACTCTTTAATTTCCTATGCCTTTATTACATTATTAGAACACTCAGTTAACATTTTTTTTAACTTCTGGATTTGAAAAAAACTTCAAATTTGCCTGAAGTTGCAAGAGTAGTTTTCTGTATATCCTTTATCTAGATTCACCAGTTGTTAACATCTAGCCATTTTGGCTTTAATCTTTCTCTATTCTTATGTAAGTAAATTGATATGTTGTTGGTTTGAGATATATCTTGATACCTTACTCATAAATTCTTCAGTATGTATTTCTTAGGAAAATAGCCATAAGTAGAATTTTCAAAACTTGGAAAATTTAACATTGATACAGTACTGTTTTCTAATACACAGTTCACATTTCAAATTATGCTTGTTGATTCCCAGTGATTCTTTTATAACAGTTTTTTTTTCCTATCCTGGATCCAGTGTAGAATCATGTTACATTTAATTGTCATATCTGTTTGGCATCTTTTAATCTGAAGCAGTTCCTCATCCTGTCTTGTTTTTCATGACATTGAAATTTTGGTATAGATATCCTAGTTTTATAAACCTCCATTTTGGATTAGTTTGTTTCTTCATGATTAAGTTCAGATAACACATGTTTTTGTAGTACAACTATAGAAGTTGTATGTGTCCTTCTCATGTGTGTCATATCAGAAGGTCCATGATGTCAGTTTGTCCCACTGTTGGTTCACTTAGTTTAGAGGTATCTGACAGATTTCTTCACTATAAGGTTAATATTTTTCCCTTTGTTATTTATCTGTAATCTGTGGGGAGATACTCTGAGGCTGAAAATAATCCGGTTTCTCATCAGACTTTCCCCCGATGGTTGCCAATCCATTAAAGATTTTTGTCTAAATAAGCATTTTACTGTATGTTAGTAAAATGGTGATTTTCTAACTCTGTCATAGCTTCTATATTTATTAGTTAGCATTCTACTACAAGGAAGAGCTTCTCTTCTTCCCCTTATGTTTTTCTTCATTTATATCAGAAAAGACTCAAGAATTTATTTTTTAATTCAATGGGTTATAATCTGTTACTATTATTAATTTTGATGCTTAAATTATCCCAGATTCAGCAAGTGGCTACCCTTTCAAACTGGCTGTTGAGTCCTTTTGATATACCATCATGATTTTGGGGACACTTTACTTTCTGATACAGTAAGATGTTCCACATTTATCTTGTACTTTCTTTAGTAGTTCTGGAGTTGGCCATTTTCAAGGAACCCTGGTAGGGAATGCTATTTAGGCATAGTTAACATTTAAAATATTTCCCTTCATGGCTATTTTCCCTGAGCATTATTTCAACATTGTTGACATATTTAATGTGTTCTTAAATTAACAAATGATTCCTCACAGAAATTTCCTCAGAATTTCTCATTAATGTATCAGATTAGGCATTTTTTATGTCTTTTTAAATATTTGTGATTATATTTTATTATATGTTGCTTCATGTCAAAATTTGATCCTTTTATACTATAAACAATTTTTATTAAGAAATAAAAATCTTTTCTCTTTGCATTCCTATCTTTAAGGAGATATTTCTTTTATTTTCTTCTTCTATTTAAAATCTCTCCCTGTGGTAATATCTTATTGGGTAGAATCTAGTTTTAAGGTACTGTTGCTTAATGGCATTTTGCACACTCACTCATATGTTTTGCATATCATTAAAAGTGGTATGCTCGCATACCTGTCTTCTAAGGTGGACAGGTGACAGTCACATACTCAGGATAACCCTGTATCTAAAGACCTAAGCATGACATAGGTCTTGATCCTAGGATCATTGCCACTCTTTTCTACTGCGTATAACTTTCAGAGTCCTGGAATAGATACTGCTTGTATTTCATTTTTGTAGCCTAGACAGAAATATGGAAATGACACTAGCTTCCAAGCACTCTCTTTCTCAGAATTTACTTTTCTTTAAAAAAGCTTTATTGAGATATAGTTCACCATACAACTTATCTACATACATGTACAATTTGATGGTTTTTAGTATATTCAGAGTTGTGCAGTTATTACCACAATAATTTTAGGACATTTTCATCATTTCCACCAAAATACCCATAACCAATTAGCAGTCACTCCCTTTCCCCCCACCCTTCCTAGCCCTAGGCAATCACTAATCTGCTTTCTGTCTCTGTAGCTTTACCTAGTCTGGATATTGTAGAATTCACTTTTTAGAAGACTCCTTATAAGCTGGAGAAGGAAATAGCAAGGTGTAGATGGGCACCAGGGAGGAGCATTGGAAAAATAGCAGCAGCTCCAGATCTGCTTTCTGACTTCATAGAGGGGTGTAATTAGACAGGTGCTTTCACCACTTTCAGTAGCTCTGGATGTTGGGGAGGGAGTCAAGTGGTAAGTTAGAGGGACTGGGCTTTGGCTGCTTGCCTAGACAGGTACCAGTTTAATGCTACTCCTCTCTGGTTTGAAATGTCTTCTCTGTACTAGTAACAGCAGCCTCAGTAGCAGTAGTAGAAGTGTTTAGCATTTACTGAGTACTAAACAACATTCCAGTCAGTGTTACAAGCAGCTTTACATGTGTTAACTTGCTCATATAACCCAGACAATATCTCTGAGGTAGATGCTGGCATTCCTTTATTTTATAAATGTGAAAAGGTGAGGCATAATTTCATTACAGCCATTTGTTTGTTCCCCCTTTTTTAAATTAGTTTAAAATCTTGAAACTACCCATGAAATTAAACTTGTTTATATAAATAAATAATACTTTGTAATGATTTTATAAAGACTCATTCTGGGGTCTTAGATTACTGCTGTTTTTCTTTCCCTTTCAGTGAAACTGCTTTTGGTTATAAGGGTCTGAAGATCCTGTTATACTATATTGCTGGGAGCCTATCAACAATGTTCCGTGTTGAATATGCATCTAAAGTTGATGAGAACTTTGACTGTGTAGAGGTAAGAACAAATAAATTCATTTTTAATTATTTTGCAATTGAGTATGAAACAGTTTTAAAATGTAAAGGTTTGAGGGAGGAATCTGTTATATAGTAGCTTTAAAACCACATATTCAGTCTTTAATTATGGAGATGATTGCCTGCCTGTCATTTCAGCTAAGCTTATGATCATGATCATTATCTGTGTCTTGGGTGGACCTTCTCCATAAAAACCTTCACTTTTATGATCAGAGCTGTATTTTATTTTTGTTTTACTGTGGACATGAAAGTTACATCTTTCCAAGAGATTAAATGAGATGGAAGAAAATCGCTGTACTTTCTGCTTCATGTAGAAAATTGCTGCAGTTCTAATCTCACAGATTTTGCTAATGTATTTCTTTATGAACATGGATAATTAAGCTGATTGCATTATAAAACTATTTGGACCAAAAGCGGGAAAAGACAAAGAGAGGTACTGAAGAGTATGCATTTGTAACAGACTGAATTTTGGCCCTCCAAAAGACAGTATGACCACAGAGGCAGAGTGATGTGGCCAAAAGCCAAGGTATGCTGGTAGCCACCAGAAATTGAAGCAGCAAGAACAGATTCTCCTCTAGCACCTCTGGAGGTAGCATGGTCCTGTTGACACCTTGATTTCAGCTCAGTGGTACTGATTTTAGGCTTTGCCTCTAGAGGGAGAAAATAAGTTTCTTTTGTCATAAGCCTCCAAGTTTGCGGTACTGTATTAAAACAGCTACAAAAAACTAATGTGAATTTGTGTATCAGGAAGTGGGGTGCTACTGTATCAAATAAATAAAACTAAGAATAATGTCTTTGGAAATGGGTAATGGGTACAGAGTAGAAGAATTTTGAGGCATGTGATAGAAAGAGCATACATTGCATTTAACAGACTCGGCAAAAATATGGATGTTTAAGGAACTGATGAGGGCTCAGAACAAAGTTAGGAGCATGGAAGAGAATATCTATTTTAGAAAATATATATATTGTTATAAATTGAATGTTGGTAGAAATAGGAATGTTAGAGGTACCCTCTGGTGAGGGTTCAAAAGGAAATGAGGAACATGTTATTGGAAAGTGGAGGAAAGATCTTTGTTATTATAAGTCCAGGGAGAGGAAATCCCTGGGCTAAATACCTCTAAAAACCGAAATCAGAGGAGAGGAGCCAAGATGGTGGTGTGAGTAGGACAGTGGAAATCTCCTCCCCAAAACATATATGTTTTTGAAAATACAACTATTGCTAAAAGAGAGACCAGAAGATACAGGAGAACAGCCAGGCTACATCTACATCTGCGAAAAACCAGTACCTCACAAAGGGGATAAGATACAAGCCATATCCCGGCAGGACCCGAGCGCCCCACACCCCAGCTCACCAGCGGGAGGAGAGGAGTCGGAGCAGGTAGGGAGTGGGAGCCCAGAATGGCTAACTACCCAGCCCTAGCCATCTACACTGGGAGCGCAGACACACAGTGCATGGTGTGCTGGATATTAGGGAAATGGAACAGTAAAACCTGAGAGCAGGTCCCCGCAGCCGGCACCCCTGGAACAAAAGAAAAGCGAGTGCTTTTTGAAAGTCTTAAAGGGACAGAGGCCTCACAGCTGGATGGAAGCTTCCCAGCACACTCAGCCCAGCAGCTGGGAATCCTGGGGAACTCCAGGCGCCATAAACCCCTGGGCGGCAGTGCAGCTTGGAGGCCCCTCACGGCGATAAACAGCCTCCTGCCCGTTCCCCCTCCGGCACAGCCCCACCATAGCAGAGCAGCAGCCTGAAAGTGGCCGTGCTCACAGCAACCGTGTGGAGCTTACTCCACAGTGGTCTGGGCAGGAATCAGAGACCCCATCTGCGCACAACTGCCCAGCACAAGTCGCTAGGGGTTGCTGTTCTCCCAGGAGAGGAACGTGAGGAGCAAGCAGGAAGGAATTTTGTTCTCCAAGCTGACACACGTGCCATCTGCCCATCAGCATGAAAAGGCAGGAGAATTTGATTCAGACCAGAATCACACAGACATCCTCCCCTGAGAGGGAACATGGGAAGGTAGACCTAACCAATCTTCCTGAAAAATAATTCAAAATAAAGGTCATAACCATGCTGATGCACTTGTAGAGAAAAATGCAAGAGCTAAGGAAGTAGAATACAGAAGTAAAAAAATCTCTGGAAGGACTTAAAAGCAGAATGGACGAGATGCAAGAGGCCATTGATGGAATAGAAACCAGAGAACAGAAATGCAGAGAAGCTGACGCAGAGAGAGATAAAAGGATCTCCAGGAATGAAAGAATATTAAGAGAACTGTGTGAACAGTCCAAACAGAACAATATCCACATTATAGGGGTACCAGAAGAAGAAGACAGAGAAAAAGGGATAGAAAGTGTCTTTGAGGAGGTAGTTGCTGAAAACTTCCCCAAACTGGGGGAGGAAATAGTCGCTCAGACCACGGAAGTCCACAGAACTCCCAACAGAAGGGACCCAAGGAGAACAACACCAAGACACATAATAATTAAAATGGCAAAGAGCAAAGACAAGGACAGAGTTTTAAAGGCAGCCAGAGACAGAAAAAAGGTCATCTACAAAGGAAAACCCATCAGGCTATCATCAGACTTCTCAACAGAAACCTTACAGGCCAGAAGAGAATGGCATGATATATTCAATGCAGTGAAACAGAAGGGCCTTGAACCAAGGATACTGTATCCAGCACGATTATCATTTAAATATGAAGGAGGGATTAAACAATTTCCAGACAAGCAAAAGTTGATGGAATTTGCCTCCCACAAACCACCTCTACAGGGTATTTTAGAGGGACTACTCTAGATGGGAGCTCTCCTAAGTCTAAACAGATGTCACCAGAGAAAATAAAATCACAGCAAAGAAAGCAGAACACTCAAATACTAACTAAAGGCAAAAAATAAAATCAACTACCCACAAAAGCAGTCAGAGGAAACACAAAAGAGCACACACACACAAAAAACACCTAACACACAAAGAATGGAGGAGGAGGAATAAGAAGGGAGAGAAATAAAGAATCATTGGACTCTATTTATAATAGCTGAATAAGTGAGTTAAGTTAGACAGTAAGATAGTAAAGAAGCTAACCTTGAACCTTTGGTAACCAGAACCTAAAGCCTGCAATGGCAATAAGTACATATCTTTCAATAATCACCCTAAATATAAATGGACTGAATGCACCAATCAAAAGACACAGAGTAATAGAATGGATAAAAAAGCAAGACCCATCTATACACTGCCTACAAGAAACTCACCTCAAACCCAAAGACATGCACAGACTAAAAGTCAAGGGATGGAAAAAGATATTTCATGCAAACAACAAGGAGAAAAAAACAGGTGTTGCAGTACTAGTATCAGACAAAATAGACTTCAAAACAAAGAAAGTAACAAATGATAAAGAAGGACATTACATAATGATAAAGGAGTCAATCCAACAAGAGGATATAACCATTATAAATATATATGCACCCAATATAGGAGCACCAACATATGTGAAACAAATACTAACAGAATTAAAGGAGGAAATAGAATGCAATGCATTTATTTTAGGAGACTTCAACACACTACTCACTCCAAAGGACAGATCCACAAGACAGAAAATAAGTAAGGACACAGAGGCACTGAACAACATACTAGAACAGGTGAACCTAATAGACATCTATAGAACTCTACACCCAAAAGCAACAGGATACACATTGTTCTCAAGTGCACATGGAACATTCTCCAGAATAGACCACATACTAGGCCACAAAAAGAGCCT